TACTCATTTATATAACTAGATGACTTAACCCGCGACCGCCTGGGGGGGGTCGGATCCGAGCCCCCCTCCGTTTTTCTTGAATAACTCATGAACCGCTTACGCTATCAACTTGAAACTTGGCATACCTTCTCCCCCATCAATTTGACGTCTCTTGTGTAATTTTTAAGATTTTTTGTTTCAAATTATTTTTTTTTAGATATATCGATTTTAGTGATGTAACTACATGGCGTATTCAGTTAGAAAGTGATAAATGTTTAAAAAAATCGCCAAAAATCAAGGTTTAAAGCAAATTGCAAATTAAGGACATGAATAGACGCAGCTCAACGAGTTCTTTAAAATAGCTATCTCAGATTTTCCATGAAATGCGTTTTTCACCCCTAAAAATTCAAAAAACTATATTTTTTGGAAAACAGCTAGTAAAATCCAAAATTTTGAGAATTTCCAAAAAACGGAATATATGTTATAAAGCTCTATTAGAACATTAGATGTCCCAAATTTCTACTTTCTATCTTGATTTTTGATCCCCAAATTGTAAAAATAGCTCCAACATGCATATTGCATATTGCATAGGGCATGCCGACGTCATAAGCATTTTCGTGATTTAGAAGCACTTCTGAACATCGCAGGTGAAAACAAATGGCACCACTAGATTCCTGGGACAAAGCTCGTCTAGAAAAGTGCATTTTTATGTCAAAAATAAAAAGTTGATAAATTGACCTTTTTTCTTAGCCCTCGTTTAGTTATGTATGGTATAAACGAATTTTTATGCTTTCAATGCACTTTTATCACCAGCACAGTGACTTGGGGTCACATATAACCATTACCATCGGATTCGGTGTGAAAAATAAGCCATAAAACATGTGTCGCACGCCCATGTAGTAAAAAGTGAAAACCGTGACCTTTCGTGACCTGACCTGACCTTGACCCGTGCTTAGCATGACCCCTACACGCACATGGTACCTTCACTAGGCCTTTGAGGTCATTTTTGGTGAGTTTTGAGCAGCAGCTATCGATTCCGCTGTCCGTAAGCCTAATCATGCAAAACCCCAGAATTTGACCTTTGACCTGACCTTGACCCGAAAGTTGACCTCAATCTTAAAATCTTAAGAGTGCTTTGGGAAGGTTTCGTAGAGACCTTTCGAACGCCGCCTCGCGGGGTTCGATACGACCATTGGTTCTCGAGATAACAGGGGGAGGGGGGGGGGGTCGGATCCGACCCTCCCCCCCCCCCAGGCTGTCGTGGGTACGGAAATAGCCCAGGCGGTGCCGGGTTTAAGTCCCAAAAATTATTTTTCTCGAAAATTTTCATTATCCTCTAAAAAGAAAACATAGCGACAACGTTCTTTCTTTATTTGAAATGCACCACTCCAGGGTTAGGTGTCACAATGTGCTATTAAATACCAAATTTCTCAAGTGGGCGGTGTTACCCAAGATTCCTTTACTACTCAGGTTGGTTCACTAGGGAAATAAAGGCGCCGTGGTGACGTCATCAGAGGAAATTCTTCACGTTCAAATGAAGGGGTCATTTGAATTGCTGATTTTGGCTCGATATAGTCCTATTTTTCAGTTTCAGCCCCATTTATCGTAATGAGGCGAACTCATTGTTACATTGGTACAACTTTTGATGACACATAGTCCTTGGTTTTTTCTCCAGCTCGCTCGAAAGATGATTAAATTTGCATGCATGCCTATGGGTGAAGGGAGATTCTACCCCCGTGGTGACGTCACGGTAAAGGGATTCTGGAGCTCGTGAACGGGGGCTGGTGTTACCCAAGTGTCTACATTTTTCTAAATAATCCTTCAATATGGCAGCACGACAAAAATTTCGCTCGAGCAGGAGCATGTAATGCATGAAGGAGTCCTAATTATGGCGAAAAATACTACTTCAGGGCTAATGTTTGTCAAATAAGATCAGTTCTCTTCTGCTTATTATGCTACAAACAGTATAAAACGTATTCACGAAACGTAAAATTAGGAATTTCTCGCAAATCACCTAAACCAATGCGGTGCACTGCCCACACCTGCACTTCTGTTGTCGTCACGCTGCCAAAAGACAGTCAGCTGTCGCCCTAGACCTTTTTATATTTCTGATATCGGGGTGGGCGGTGTTCCCCAAAGGGCGGTGTTCCCCCATCTTCCCCTAGGTTAACTTGATGTTTTGTAATATTTGTAGTTTGTACCTACTTCCAGTCAAGAGTCTACTCCGATATAATAAAATTATGCGCATGGGGCTTAGCTTCAAACGACATGCTCTCAAATGAGAAATGGATGAGAAATGGAATACGAATCTTCCAGCTCATAGTCTGCTCCAATAAAATAAGATTGTGCGCATGGGGCTTAGCTTCAAATGAGAAAATAGATGCTGAACTTCCCGTTGTTGTTACGGAGCGAGCGAAGCAAGCTAAGTCTTTTCAATATAACGGACCAGTATGACGCCTTTTGGGGCGACTAACGGAGCGAGCGAGAGGGTGAGCCTTGCACGTGCGAAATTTCGAGGGGGTACCTCCAGCTGACTTGTGCACGGCACCCTACTAACCGGTCTCTAGTGATGTGCCAAATTTGAGCACAATCGGCCCAGCCGTTCTCGAGATCTGGAAACGACCCCTGCACGTGCGCATGTGCAGCAGCACCCCAACTTCGGCACATGGATATGCATTGCCTTATGCCTAGTGGGTGCCTAGCTACATGCCAACTTTCAGCGCAATCGGCCAAGTAGTCACCGAGATATTACAACTATTACAAAATTGACACCTCTTCGTTTTGCACGTGGCACGTGCATAAGGGGTCACCCACATGCATCGGGAATAGTCCAATACTTGGTAGAAGGAATGAAGCTACCCTACAAAAATTACCGCATGTAAATCGGTCAAGTGGTGGCTGAGATATAAGCGTCGCAAAATCGTGACCACGGCCGGCCGGCCGGCCGGCCGCTCATACTAAGAAATTTCCGTTATTGCACCTCTTCGTGCACGTGCACGAAGAGGTGCACGTAAAAAAGTGCAGTGGACGGCGACCTTAGACTCCGCTCTCTTCGCTCGCTCCGTAATAAATCTCAGTAAGAGCGGCCCGGCCCGACTCGGCCCGGCCTGTAACGCCTTTGAAAGGCTTATAACTCAGCATCCGCTGGGCCGATTTACTTGCGGTAATTTTTGTAGGGTAGCTTGGCACGTGCCACGTGCAAAACGAAGAGGTGTCATTTTTGTAACAATTGCAATATCACGGTAGTTACTGGGCCGATTGCGCTGAAACTTTGCATCCACTAGGGCCTAGGCAATGCATTTTCATGTCCCATAGTTGGGGTGCTCTTGCACGTACGTGCAGGGGTCGACTCCAGATGTCGAGAACGGCTGGACCGATTGCGCTCAAATTTGGTTACCGGTTAGGGATCCGTTAGAAGCGTGCCGTGCAAAAGTCAGTTGGGACCCATTTTGCACGTGCGTACGTGCACGGTGCCGCTTCCAGATCTCGAGAACGGCTGGGACGATTGTGCTCAAATATGGCACATTGCTAGAGACCGGTTAGTAGGGTGCCGTGCACAAGTCAGTTGGAGGTACGTACCCCTCACAATTTCCCACGTGCACGGCCGATGCTCTCGTTCGCTCCGTTTATCGCCCTATAAGGCGTTTTACTGGTAGTATGTGTGCTGTGTAGCAATGCGAATCTAGCACTGCATTTCACTTTAACAATGCCGTCAGGTCAATCATGTGAGAATATCAGACACATTCTTGTGACTAGAGCTGCGACAGACTCAATATTCGATAACATGTATCTTTATCAATTAATCAGCAGTTTCGTTCTAACTGGGTAAGTAAGTACCTACCTACCTACACCAGGCTAAGGACGGCGCCGGGAAGGCTCGTCGAGAGACGTGTTCCGTCCGCGCGGTGTTTACACACCATGATCTCCCTCAGTCGGCGCCGCCCGCCGCGCCGGCGCAGTAACCAAACGTCGTTATCGTAAGGGCCGTGAAATGAGGAGGGGGAGAAGGCCATTAACGTGGGAAAAAAGCGCTCTACCCTTGTGACATCTACTGGCTGAGAATCGGAGTAGTAGTGCTCGGACACCAACGCTGAGCGGAGCCACCTCCGAAGTTAACGCACCCTTAATACAGCAGTCGACCGCTACATTTGGTGGCAGGCGGTGCGCTCTCCCGCGCGGGGATGCCTGATAACGCGTTGTCCAGTGTTGTGCCGGGGGCACCGGTGCTTGTGCCTCCCCAACCGAAGTCGGACAGTGTCACTATGGCTGAGTATCTTGAATATTTTGAGACTGTTGCGCGAGCTAACAGCTGGGATGATGCCACCCAGGCCAGAATTTTTCCCGCTTTGTTGGGTGTCGGCAACAAGGCACTATCGGACTGTCCAGAGGCCGACCTTCTTTCATTTGCTCGCATCAAAGGCTACCTCACCAGAGTCAGTGAGCCCTACCGGGATGCTTACATGTTAGACCTACTACGTGCCAGCATGCAGTCTGGTGAGAAGGTGGAACAGTTCCGTGACCGCATTGTTTCGTTGGTGGAACAAGTCTACCCTCGATTCGCTGCATCCAACAAGGCGCTGCTGTCTCGAGACTTTTTCGTGTGTGGACTCCGAGAACCACTTCAGTCAGCTGTTCTCAACGCCGGCACATCCCGCAAGCTGGAGGACGTGGTGAATACTGCACTGATGTGCCAGAGCCTGCGCGGGCGTCTCTCTTACGCGGCTCCCACTGTTTCAGCTGCCGGCTCGTCTCGCCGCGGGCTCTTTCCAGCTGCACCGGCGGACGGAGGCCGGAGCTCGACGGCGGCGGGGCCGCGGCCCACCGGACCGGTGTGTTGGGGCTGCGGTGGACACGGTCACGTGGTCGCCCGGTGCAGCCGCACCCGGGGTGCGCGGCCGAGGCAGGTAGAGGGTCTGTCCGCCCGGCCCCAGGACGGTCGCCTGTATCTCGACACCGAGATTGATGGACAGCGGATTCAGCTACTGGTGGACAGCGGAGCGACCGTAAGCTGCTTACCAGCCATGTTTTCACCCCAGGAGCCGGCTAAGGAGCAGTGTATCACGGCTGCGAATGGCACGGAGCTCCACGTCTACGGACTCTACCGTGCCTCGGTTCGCCTGGAAGATCAAGTTGAGCGACACGCCTTCTTCGTTACAGACGTCCGTCAGGGGGTGATGGGCATGGACTTGCTGCAGAAGTTTGGAGCGCTGATTGACGTGCAGCACCGCGAGGTGCGACCCGCCGCATCGAGGATGGTGCCATCTAGCGGTGGCAGTGAGCAGCAGCAGTTCCGTGACCGTCAGACGGAGGGAGGAGTGGCGCCATCTAGTGGTGGCAGTGAGCAGCAGCAGTTCCGTGATCGTCAGACGGAGGGAGGAGTGGCGCTGCAGCACGCCGGCCTCCTGACTGCGGCGGCTACGGCCGGCTTCGAGCCGGAGCTGGTGTCCGACGAGGAACTCGGCAGCTTCGCGCAGATCGCCATGGTCGGCGCTGAGGACCTAATGAGTGAGTGCGATTCGGGGGGCGAATCTGTGTCTAGTCCATGTGCGCGTCTTGGTGAAATGTTGAGTGAGTTTGATGATGTATTCAGTGGTCTTGGCCGTACTCAGCTGATTGAGCATAGAATAGTGACTACATCTGACGTGCCTGTGGTAGGGAGACAGTATCGGCTGCCAGTCGCGTATAAAGATAAAGCGCAGACGGTGATTGATCAGATGTTACGAGATGGGGTTGTGGAGCCCAGTGACAGTGATTATATGAACCCCGTGGTGCTGGTCAAGAAGAAGGGCTCAGACGTCCCGCGTGTCTGCATTGATTTCAGGGCACTGAACAGCGTCACGGTGAAGGACCGCCAGCCGGTGCCTCTTGTCGAGGATGTCATCAGGAAGCTGGCGTCTGCTCGGGTCTTCTCACTGGTGGACGCGAAGCAGGGGTATTATCAAATACCCCTCAGAGAAGAGGATCGCAAGAAGACAGCGTTTCAGTTTAATGGGCAACTGCTGCAGTTAACCGTTCTACCGTTCGGTTTGTGCAATGGACCCAGCACGTACAACCGGCTCATGCACCGTATCACGAAGGATTTACCCTGCGTCGCGGCGTACTTTGACGACTGGTGTGTGTTCAGCGGTGATGAGACGGAGCACCTCGGCCACTTGCGTCTTGTGCTCGAGCGGCTGCGGTCCGCCGGTCTGACTCTGAACCGAGACAAGTGCCGATTCATGACGTCATCGCTTGAGTCATTCCTAGGCTTCAGCGTATCTCAGGGATGCATACGACCCACAGAGGAACACAGGCGGACGATCGAAGCAGTCAAACGGCCAACGAACCAGAAGGAACTGAGGCGGTTCCTTGGACTGTGCGGATTCTACAGAGCTCATGTGCCGTTCTTCAGTCTAACCGCCCGACCACTGCATGACCTGCTGAAGAAGAGCAGCCCGTTTCACTGGGACGGAGCGCATGAGTCGGCGTTCCTTCGTCTTCGGCAGACGCTGATGACGCGCCCCGTGCTGACTATCCCAACAGAGAAGTCAGACTTCACCGTCCGCACAGACGCCAGTCAGGACGGCATCGGCTGCGTTCTAGAGGCGGATGGACGGCCAGTGGAGTTTTCCAGCAAGGCGTTCTCCAAGCAGCAGCGGGCGTACTCCGTCATAGAGCAGGAAGCCTTCGGCATCGTGCATGCGCTGAAGAAGTGGCGTCACCTGCTCCTTGGTCGTCACTTTCGGCTGTGCACCGATCATCGACCTCTGCTGTGGCTCCAGTCAAAGAGGGATCTGTCTGGTCGGCTGGGACGCTGGGCGCTTCTGCTTCAGGAATTCGACTTCACTGTCGACCACATCTCCGGCCAGCAGCATGTAGTGCCTGATGCTCTGAGCCGGTCGGTTCCAGACTCGACTCAGGGAACTCAGAGCCGCAGTCAGGCGGCGAACCAGTCAGCCGCTGGACCCTCAGAAGCGTCACCTGTAGCCCCGATCGGAGCGCCATCTGTGGCCAGTTTGGATGACTGGAAGGTGGAGCTGAGAACTGACAGCAAACTTCAGCAGCTTCAACGACAGCAGCCGTCAGCGTTTAAGGTGAATCAACGCGGCATGCTTTGCCACGTTCATCCAAAGTGGGGAGAGCAACTGGTAGTACCTGCATCACAGAGAAGGGGAATAATCACATCTCTACACGATGAGCCCCTGGCAGGCCACCCTGGATCAAGAAGGACGCTGCATCGCATCCAGGAGCGCTACTTCCGGCCTGGAATGGTGATGGACGTAAAGAAGTACGCGAAGGCGTGTCTGACGTGTTGCCGAGTCAAGGACACGCCGGTGGCGACTGCGCCTCTGTGTCCGGTGGACACAGCATCGCTGGAGCCGTGGCAGAAGGTGGCGCTGGACGTCATCGGTCCTATATCTCCTACGGCTGAGAACGGAGCACGGTTCATTGTGGTCTGTCAGGATTACTTCACGAAATGGCCGGAACTGGTGGCAATTCCAACCACGGATGCAGCAACGGTAGAACGCTGGCTGCTGGATGAAGTATTCTGCAGATACGGAATTCCAGCTGAGCTCGTCACAGATCAAGGCACGCAATGGATGAGCGCGTCCTTCAAGTCATTTTGTGGGAGACTGGGCATCACACATCGGACCACATCACCGTATAACCCTCAAGCGGATATGGTCGAACGGTTCAACAGGACGCTGCTGAATATGATACGTGCATATCTGGACGACAACAAACAACAGTGGGATCGGAACCTCCAATCACTGGCCTTCGCCTACCGCACGACAATCTGCGAGACGACTCAGGCCACGCCGTTTGAGCTGGTCCAGTGCCGCCGAGCGAGGCTTCCCATCGATGTACTGCACGCGCCGTTGCGCTCACCGGCTGGCTCACAGTTGATGAGTCGGCTCACCGAAGTGCGTGAGGGGGCCCGGCAGGCCTCCAGTCGAGCGGCGGCGGCGCGAGCTGCGACGTATGACAGAGCGAAAAGTGTGAAAGTGCGAACATTCAGAGTTGGAGATCGAGTGTTTTGGAAGCGTCCAATTAATCAGGCGGGTGTGTCGCCGAAACTGCAGCCTATCTGGAGCGGGCCATTTGACGTTATGGGTCGTGTGTCTGACGTTAACTATCGTATTCGTGATGGACAGGGAAAAACGCTAACCATACATGTCAACAATCTGAAGTTGAGCAATGTCGATAGATCTGTTCAGTCACCGCTGATCCGAGGTCGGGGTAGACCTCGGAGCTAGAAGGTGACTTTAGGGGGAAGGTGTAGTGAAAAGTTGTTGGCACCCGCCACTTGGCGGCGCTAGCCTCGTGTCATCTGTGTGACCTTCAATACAGCAGTCGACCGCTACACTTGTGAGTTTATGTCAGAATGAATAGTGATATCCGTCTCATCAACACAATATGTTCTTTGGCATTTTCTATCCTTTACTCCAATCCGCGAAATACACATCAAAGCGAAGCTCTCCTTGTGAACCAAACATCAAAACCCAGGCACAGATATGTTATCAACAAAGACTCTCTTCTGAGGACAATGTTTCCGGAATAGCTAAAAATATGATGCCGACAGATGACGATCGATCTATTGAGCATGTCCCCAGCCAAATATTGATTGCGCTGTGGCATAGAGATGCCGATGGAACACTTACAGGTGGATATTTGTATTGCAGCGCGTGTGTGACGGAACCAGTAATCACCCGCTAACCAAATACCATTGGCAACTCCTTCCTGTTCTATCCCAAATGACCTCCGGGCACGAGCTCTCACACAATCGGTCCCTGACAATTGCCATCGACCCGAGTATCGATCCCACGGGCGCCCACTCGTCCGTTTTCTTCCACCCCTTTCCCATGCAGTTCCGTACCGGGCCGCCCCATAGTCTCAGTACAAAAAGGGAAGAGGGTTTCTGCTAGTTATTATAAGAAATGTGCAGAACACAAATAGTTAAGGGTGATTTTGTACTGCCAATGACCGTACCACAATCTACTATCTAGCGACACCTAGACTGAAGTTACCGATACTTTTGTCGCTAGATGGCAGTCGCGTCGAGCGCCTGAGTTCATACTGTACCGCAGAGCTCACACTGGCCCGTGGGCTGATTACAGATAGATGGATGGCCTTGACATCCATTCCTGTACTTTCTACCATTCAGAAGGTCCTTATTTGTCACTGGATGTTCTGAAGACCCCGCTGAAGGGAACCTTCCCCCCAATTCCCACATACTCGCTAGAATTACAGTTGTTTTACCAGATGGGGAGTGTGATGCTGCGCCTAGCGCCGCGCGGCGTTTGCTCGCAGCTCTGATGAGTTTGGAGTGTTTAAACTGTTCTGGTAGCCGCCGCCGGATGTTGTCCTTGTCTACACCAAGGCTCGTTTGCAACAGGAAACTTCAATCTCTGCTGAAGCTTTTGCAAGGTGTTGTCGCATACGGCCGCCAGCCAGCGCGGTAGTACTTGAGGAAGATACTATTTAAATGTGATTTTTACGCGATTAATTTATTATTGTTGGTTTAGCTGGTGGGAGAATATTAGACAATCAATTACCGCTCCATCAACTTATGCATCTTCTCAAGTGGCTTCATTTCATTATGGTGAGATGAGATCACACTAAATCAGTGCAGTTTGACCTTATTGGTATCGTAGTGAAGCCTCACGAATAGCTCGTATACAGTCAGTGCTGTATGGGTCAGATGGCGGAGTCTACCTGAGTCTAGTCCGAGGTCAGGTCAGGTTATGTCCGTCAGGTGGGAGGTGGGCTGAGTCCCACTGAGTCCACCCTGAGTTCATCCCAACATCACCCGGAGGCCAGGTCATGTCATGTACGGTCGGGTGGGCAGCTGACTCCCCCCCCCCTGAGTCTCCCTTGTTTCCACGCCGGAGGCTAGGTCATGTCATGTGCGGTCAGGTGGGCAGCTGATTCCCCCCTGAGTCCCCCCCTGTTTCCACGCCGGAGGCCAGGTCAGGTCATGTGCGGTCAGGTGGGCGGTCTCATTACCGGGGGAGATGCGGCCGGAGCCGGGCGCGATTGTTATCGGTCGCCGACGGAGATGAGATGAAAATCGATGGCGCGATGTGGCGGTGTGCGACCGGCCCGACCCGGCGGCCGGCAGTCGACGCGCGGACCCCCGCGCCGACGGCCGTGCCGCCGTGCCGTGACGTGCTTGGCGTGCTCGGACCACGCCGGGCTGCCTTGCTGAGTGGTAGCGGGTCCGGCCATTCGGCGGGGACGCACTGATGTGTGGTGAGGGATTGGTGTATCTTAGTGATAGTGTCTAACCATGGTGGACAGCAGCACCGAAACGCAGTTTGACCACAATGCGTGCACGGTCGGCCGTGGGTAGCGTTGCCGAGATCGAGTCCCCCTCCTGTTGTTATCGGTCACGGTGATCAATGACGGGCATTAGAGGCCGTAACGGCACTGCGAGTGGCTGGCATTAGGATGTGGGGATCGACAGAGAGAGAGAATGCCGACCGGGAAATTCCGCCACGGCGGTACTAAAGGTACACAAGACGGCGCCGGTCCCCGGAGATTTGCGTGAGAGAAGTAGAGAAAGAGAAAGAGAGAGAAAGATACGGGAAGGGAGAGAGAGGAGAGGACAGGAGAGGAGAGGAGAGGAGAGGAGAGGAGAGGAGAGGAGAGGAGAGGAGAGGAGAGGAGAGGAGAGGAGAGGAGAGGAGAGGAGAGGAGAGGAGAGGAGAGGAGAGGAGAGGAGAAGAGAGGAGAAGAGAGGAGAGGAGAGGAGAGGAGAGGAGAGGAGAGGAGAGGAGAGGAGAGGAGAGGAGAGGAGAGGAGAGGAGAGGAGAGGAGAGGAGAGGAGAGGAGAGGAGAGAACACACACGGAATATTTTGTTCTGTTACAGAATTCCATATACGCACCGGACCCCCGTTATTATCTGTCCGTTCTATCCGACCGGGCTGGACGAATATAGGAAGTAATATCTGATCCCTGGCATCACATGATAGAGGGTGGGCGCGTCTTTCTTCGAGTGCCCCCGGGTGATTTGGCATCTTCATAGCATTTCTGTCCCTGGGCAGCTGTGTCGGTTGTTGTATTCTGAGTGTTCTGCCGTAGGGTAAGACCATCTCCATTAGATACTGACCTTTCAGTGAACCAAGGAACGACACAGTGTGGGTGAGCTCCTTGGGAAGCCTTCTAGCTAGATTGATTGGTATTTGTTCGATATTGAAAGAGTACTTGATGGATTGGGGTTGAACTAACGAGCGCCATAAATATTAGAGATCACATGCGTCTTACTGTAAATCTAGCTATTCAGCAACGCATTTTATTTGGCAATATATTGCGAATAGGTTTGTGATCATTACCAATTTGAACTTAATTGGCAATCGTTTGCAGATAAAATACTTCAAAAGCATCACTGGTATCGAGGAATGATATCAAAAGCAGTAGATGTTTCCTTTCCAATTGTGGAACCAGACTTCTTGTCGTGTTACTCATGCCATGATGACATCACCTATGTCATCATAGATAAGTTAGCGTCGTGTCTATAATTACACGAAATTCCTCGACGCTTGAACACGGACGCTGTAATGTTGAGAGGTTCAGACACTGGTTTGACCTTTCATTAGAATTCCTATAATAGCTAGGACAGATACACTGAAATTACAAATATAGCATTATACATGCGGTATTGAGCTTATATCTTTTCATCTCTTCATGAAATGCTCCTGAACGTTCTATAAATAACAAGGTTTTCAGATCAGAATTACTCAGGGTTTTTGTGCCTTCAAAATTGATATTGTGCCTTCATTTGAATACCCAATAGAGCTTGGAGGGAGCCTATTACATTTAATAACAATTGATAACAATATGAGAGTTAGAAGTTGTTATCAAATAATGCTCGATGCTTCAAAGATAATTTGACGTTTGACACGCTTTAGTCAGAACAAGCGCTGAAAGCTGTTTGGCCTTTCGCACTATGACATTCAAACAATCTGAATACGACTGTCCGCTACAGCCCTATCCCTCGCCCTCAACCACCCACGTGCCCTCTCGGGTACCGTGTCGCCTGGGGAGCATTTCTGTGGCGCTGCTGTGATGATGGAGCAGAGGTCCCGCTGGCGATCAGAGGCCGGCGAGGCATCTGTCAGAGCCGGCACCCGGGGGATCAGACGCGGCCAAGTGGTTGGCTTCTGCAGCCGGCGAGCAGTTGGCTCTGGGACGCAGGTCGGCACATAACTCGGCCCGGCCGGTCGCGGCGTCCCTCGGAGGTGGTTTGTCGCGGCCCGCTGCCACTGGGCCGGCTGACATTATGTCGCGCTGAGCTGGGAGTGCTGGCCGAGGCCAGATGCTAGATGGTATGGCGGTCGCGATTAGGGTCTCTGAGGGCAGTAAAGGTCACCCACCCTCGTCCGTTTTGACATGACATTTAGCCGCCGCGTCAAAATGTGTCGGACAGGTTAGTGGGAACAGGGACATAATGCTAAATTGAAGGTCACAAGATGACGTTTATGGCCATTACCGAAAGTTTGATAAACCAATGCAATCAACTTTCAAACAATCGTGCGACAACTCGCGTAAATTTCAGTCAAAACCAACGGAATGAAAATAGTGAGCATTCGTTACATAGGGATCGATTCGCTCAGCAGCACGTAACCACTCGTCGTGGAGCCAAAGGCTTCACGATAACATTTGCTTGAAAGCGTAATGCTGTCACACCAGCTGAGCACTAAACAAAGTGGTGTTCCTAAATCAAACCACACTATTTTTGGTCATCCCACGTAACTTTGACTGTCATTGTATCAATACCAACGTCCAACCCCATACCGTATTTTTAGTCTCATTAGGCTGCACAAATCATCTGTCACTGGAAACAACGTATTCGTTTTGCGCGCAGATCAGTACTCGTATTGTCTTCTAGAAAGGGGACAAAGGTGCGGAGCTTTGACTCATTGATCACCTTTACTCCCCCTTCCCCCGCCCCCTGCCCCGTTCGTTCAGTCAGATCAATCCGTAGTGCTCCCAGAAGGCAGAAATAGACGGTAGGCGTCGTCCTACGTCCCCGTTGGGAGCATCCATCGTGCTCAATATCTTTCCCTGTTTGTCTCTGTCTCTGTCACTTTCTGTCTCTGTCTCTGTCTGTATCTGTCTCTGTTTCCGTCTCTGTCACTCTCCCTCTCCCTCTCTCTCTCTCTCTCTCTCTCTTTCTCTCTCTCTCTCTCTCTCTCTCTCTCTCTCTCTTTTCCTCCCCTCTCTTTCTCTTTCTCCGAGTATCATCCCTGTATCGGATGATTGCCTGCCCTCCTGATGCTCCTCCTGATTTCGTTCCAGTTTTGGTATTATATTCGACCTCATGTGCCATGCATTGAACAATTGATATCTTCATTCTCTCGTGGGAACCAGATCTGTAATCCCTAATGAGGTAGACAGTAAGCGTCTGTTGTGAAAAAAAAAACAAGCATTTGTGAATAGCTTGACGGCCTGCGTATTGGCCAGAAATTCCAAATCAAGAAATTCACACTATGTAGACAGAAGGCTGCCTTCTTTTCCTTGTGAGCGGTGTTTGTGGCAACATTGCTGTTCAGTGTTCATTAGCATCGTGCCGGAAGTCATTTTCTGTGGACCACGTTCGTTGATCGTTCCCCCATAACATCTATGTCTATTATAATGTTTATCTGGTTTAGCACCCGTAGTACGCACAAGTTCCCCATGCCCGTGTATTTATTTGCAACTCTAAAATCTACATCTACATTTGACGGATTTCTTTGTGTCAAAATGGCCAGTATCGGGAGGGTTGCTTCTGGCTCTCTTTACGCCTTTGATATCGCAGCTCCCACCCTCTGCCGCCCCCGCCACTCTGTCTCTGACGTCACCCAGTCATGTAGGATGACGCCGCCGCGAGAAGCCATCTCGTTCGAGCAGCTCCCCGGGGCTGAGCCCAACTCGGAAAGTTACTTATCTTCGCCGGATGGAAAGCCTCCCGAAAGCCGTTACTCTTTCCGTCACCAATTTACGTCGCCAACGCCGCGAACTCGCAAATACGGCGAAATCGGCGTGCGGGCCGGCCGTGTGCGGCCATCGCGGCGCGGGTGAAACATGGCGACAGTTGGTGCGCGCCGTGGGCGATTCTGGCGCTCCGGCGTCTCTGACTGGTCTCCGGAGAGCGGCGGACGGGGGCGGCAGGCAGACGCCAATCGCAATGGATGGGCCGCTTTGACGTGCATTTCTTCATTGGCTCTGGGATAAATGCGCAGTGAGAGGATTGCGTGATGGAATTTGTGAAGATAGACTAGGTCAATGTCTTTGTTAGTTTCCGGGTTCCTAGCATTGGTGAATGTTAATCTTTAAGGAAGACGCTGTCGCATTCCACAGTGACTGTAAACACTAAACGACACCGGACCCACTTGTAGGTATGCATAATTTGTAAGGATTGAACCAAAACAGATTATTTTATTAAAAAAAAAAATAGATGCATAAACGGATTCAAATGTTATGTCAGCATTTCTCTTTTCCACAATAGCCGTTTTCACGACGGAATAGCGGGCACCTAAAAGATACCTGTTTGGTCTGTTGATTCATCAGGAATGTTAGTGTTTTTTATAGTAGGTTTTCAATAGTAGGTAGGTTTGTATAGAGCTCTGCATCACTCTGCATCAACAAGAATCACTCTGCATTAGCTCCCCGCAGTAGGAATACTCGGCTTTGCTGTGGTTTAAATTAAGATTGACGCCCTGTATTCCTCGGCGTCAGAACTACCGTCAGTGAAGGTGACGTCCACTCAGAGCTGGGGCATATTCCCGAGCGGATAGACTTTCCACAGCACAGGATCTTGCAATCTTTCTCTAATCACATCGGTGCATGAATGACAAATAAATACACCCTGCTCATGATGAACAAGCCTATTAAATCGTCTGATCTGATTAAATCCATCTTAACATTTTTTCATTTTGTGCGCTTTTCCAAAAGCAATTGCAGCTATGCATGCTGATTTTTTGGCACCCACTTTCCAGTATTTTGACAAGGCTCATTTAAAATGCCACTCGTTGATGCTGAACTCCTTACATTTGGAAACATTTCTCTCGCTACTTGCTATTATGGTGTGGATCGACACATGCTCAAGTCACTGTATATGGGCTCGATATGGTGGCCCACCATGTTCTATTGTCCTATATAGCTCTGTCAGCATGTGCCGGCATTACGAATCCGCGGCCACCCTGCGGCCGAACCGACCAATGAGGGCGATCCGTCAGCCCGTCAGTCGCCATCGTTGAACAGTCAATCAGGCCGGCTCGGCGCGTCCGACTTATTAAACGTATATCAAAAACAGACGGCCGGCAGGGCCTACTGTTCACTGATTTATAGACGCGCCGCAGCCGGAAGCTACATCAAAAACGCCTTCATCGAAACATATTGGAATTCGTGGCGAGGCATCTCCTGCGGCCATTAGAAATGGTTTCAATTGTTTGATGGTAAGCTCTTTTGATTCTGTTGGTTCAATCTGTCTCCGGAACTGTTTGTAGTTTGGTTTTGTTCTTGGATCCGTCCACCGTAAAAATACACTTTAGTGAGATACATCTGAGGCTGGTATCTTCATGCACGTATGCATACATGACATATGTACTTTGAAGTTGTCTGTTTTACGGACAAAAAGACCCAGATAAAACATGCTAGGAAAATGAATGTTTTCAGCATTTCCATGCCAACCCTGAGATCAAACGCAACAATCCGTATGAAGTTCAAGATATGCTCACTGCACAGATCAAAACCTAGTCGTTAAATTTACGTCGAGGGACGTCGCGTCCTAATGACATCGCACGAAAAGACGTTTGCCTTTGGGAGTTGACGATTGGTTTCAATTTATTTAATCATGAATAGGATGAGGTCGTTCATGTAGGGAGTTTAGCAAGACCCCATGGTGTCATTGGGTCACCACTTCTCTTAACCTTCGCCCCAGTGGGGGGGGGGCATATGTTACCACCCTGTCGCGTTTTTCGCGTGTAAATAAAAAAGCGCGGCGCTACGCGCCGCGCCGCTTGGGGTAGCTTTTTGTACATCAATTTTGGACAATGTGTGAAATTTTTGACCCCAGGTCATGTCAGGTCAGGTCACCAGGTCAAGTTAACTGACCAAGTCTAAAAAAAAGTTTGCAATCATGTCCAGCCTGCAGTGTTTGTCAGAAAGGTTTCAAACTTGGTGGATTGCATGATGTTATGGGCGCCTACAATTTGTTTATCTCGGATTTTTCATATCCGTGACCTAAGGTCAGGTCAGTGGCGTGACCTTACCATTATAAGGCAAGGGAGAAAAATGAAAATGCCTCTAGATCCGTGTGTACGCATCGGAACAGTCCAAATATTTCAGAATCACAATGATTTAGTCCACTCGTGATGACCAAGGTGTCATTTTTGCTGATAGCCTCTAGACAGGTCATCTGAGGTCACTTGAGGCTACAAACAGTTTTTTGCCAATAACTCGCGATTGGAAAGAGATAGAACGCTGGGGATGGTCTCATTGTGTTTGTCTTGTTGAGACGCATCGACTGATATGCAACATGACCTTTTCCGGTCAGGTCATGACCTTGACCTGAGGTCAAATTTTCAAGTTGACCTTTCAAGGTCAAATTATAGTTCATTCGACGCGTCTCGGCGAGGGGAACACGATTCTGGCAATAGAAATGCCGTGGCTTTTTGTAGTTAAAAGTTATTGTCGAAAAACACTTTTCGTAAAAACAGCTATTTTTGGAGTTTTTGCCCTCTGGAGGCTAAACCGTTGACCTGAGGTCAATATTGATAATGATCTTTTCAAAAGAAGAGCTCAAAAGCTATCGTTTGCTGTTCCATGCGTTTTTCTAGCTACCATAGTTCCTGAGATAGCGGCATGTTTTCTGAAAAATATAATGACAATTGGCAAATTTTGACCTTTGATGACCTCTGGTGACCCCAATATTGCTCAAAGGTGAAAAATGACCGAAATACTTTCAAACGTACGCATTGAGAGCTATGGACTGCTTTTTACCGCGTCTTTCTATCCCTCTTAGTTTTTGAGTTAGAGGTGGGTGGTAACATATGCCCCCCCCCCCCCACTAGGGCGAAGTTGGCTGAGACCGCCACTGGGGCGCGGATTAAATACGCAGTAAATGGGCCCTCACCATGTCTTCCTGGTGCAATTGCGATAGTGGTACCCTGTAAGCAAAACGGCTCGTATATAAACATGAAATGAGCGGTTTCACTCAACGTCTATTGCCCTCGACCTGCCCCTAAGCAGCGTCCGCTGCTATGCAACACCCCAGAGTGCAGTGCGGACCTTGGAATGGTCGTCTTTCGTGGCGGACTCATGCATCAGCGAATGTCAGCCAACAGCGCGGCGACTTTAAAACTTGTCTGCCGCCTGTTTACCTGTCCCCGGGGTACGACGACAGAACTTGGCCTCCGCAGGAAAACGAGCTACAAAACGAATATCCGGACGCTGGGGTGCTTCCTTCCATCATCCGTCCCTCGTTTTAATTTCTTTGCATATTTTGTTGCTAGCATCGTGCTCTTGCGTCTGGCCGTAGTTCCCCCGAGTTTTCTCTGGCGCAGCGCTCCATTTTGCGTTGACTGGCTTGTCTGCTCGACAGTGAACATGCCCCTGATAAATAGTATGGCCAAATTGGCCGCCAGCGTTTTTCCAAAACACCATCGCGAGCGGGGTCGGCAGCGCTCTCTCCCTCTCTCTCTCTCTCTCTCTCTCTCTCTCTCTCTCTCTCTCTTCTCTCCTCTCCTCTTCTCGTACCCTTTCACACGACTTAACCAATCGGTCGTTCCAGGCGTAGTCAAGATGGCAGTGAGTCAAATATACGCTCGAAAACGGCGGAGGCCATTCTATTGAACCTCATTGACCTAGGTATCTCTGCGAGTTTCGTGACCTCACGAGATGGTGATCAGCGCACAAACCATGTACTCTAACGGCCGCGCGGGCGGCTGCGGGGACCAATACCCGGAATACTTCTACCGAGAGGTGGGGACTTTCGAGAGTGAGCTGCGCAGCCACGCCGACGGTTACGGGGTGGTCCCGGCGCCGAACCGCGGCCGCCCCTTCACCTACACACCGGACACGATCAGTGAGGACGGACTGGACACGGGCGGCTTCGTCAGCAGTGGTAGCGCTGTCGGTAGTGGTGTTGGTGTCGGTGGTGTCGGTGGTGTCGGTGGTGGTGGTGGTGGTGGTGGCAACGGCGGTCGAGCGGACAAGCCCGTGTTCCCCGGCTCGCTGCAGCTGCAGGACAGTAAGCCGGATCTCGTGGAGGCCGCCGAGGGCCGCAGGTCGCCCGGCGGCTGTGCCCAGCAGCTGTGCTCGCGGACTCTGTGTCGCATCCCGCTGGTACTAGCGCTGCTGGTCACACTCGTCGTCATCTTTGTCATCATTTCTAGCATTCTGCTGCTGCTCAACTGTGAGTACGGAGACGGATGGTCGTCAACAGTCAGTGTCGTAGATACACGTGTGCATGTGGCCGGAGCTGGTAGAGAGTGCATGGCATAAAATGCATGACATGACTATTTTGTTTTAAGTTTTCCTAAATACACCATTTTGAATTACTTTGGTTTGAAACGTGATGACCTATTTGCTGTTTACCTATATATGTTACAACCGCAAATATATAGTTTTAGTGTTGGCGTTGACACCAGTCTAGCTTCTCTCACATTTTCTCTCAATATTTGTTTTTCTCAATACCCTGTGGTCCCTGTGGTTTCCCTGTGGTTTCTTCATCGCCTGGCCGTAGGCGCCTCTTCAATACATGCTTTCTTCCCTGAGTCTGGGGTACTTTATCTAGGGCCTTCTTGCGCCTACCCTTTACACACTGAGACGTAAATGGGCTTCAGTACAAAACCGACACACGAGAAAAGCATGTCGCCTGAAATCCACTCTCTTCTGGGAAGACGCACTAGGCCTGGCGGTCTGAAAAGAGACCGGAGAAATTGAACTGGAGATCTGGCCGCAGTATCCATCAAGCTGTCGGCCGGCCTCGAGGCGGCGTTCTTAGTGTGAGCGGAGTCCGAACAGAGTTCGGTCCTGTCACCAGGCCGATGGATCTACTAAGAGTGATGGCGTTATCAACCGTTATATGAGAGAGCGCCAATATATGGGGTAATTGTGGTGGTCATTCGTTACGGTGTCGTTATCGTTTAAATTGCTGACCTTTGCTCCCTTCACGTTAGGGGCAAAGTAAGACTGAAATTGTGTGGTGGTGTGTTTTCTGTGCAGAATTTAGGTTAGTGTTACGCATTGTCCTATAGTTCGATGTTGCATTTTACTCCGTAGTCCCCTGCCCAATTAGCTCACTTCTTTTATTCGGCGACAATTACGAGTGCGCTGCTGAAAATTCTCACAGGCAGGCACTTCATATTTACCACATAAGGTGATGTGAAAAGCGCAAGACAGCGCCTAAGGGCTTTTGCATTATTTATGTGCATCATGATGCAAGTGACGTCTCGTAAAATGTTCGCAAAATGTTAGGCTCTTTTCAGTAATCCTTCCCACATCCTAAAGCCTCCTTTTCGTCATTCGTTGAGGATAAGACATTGACCAATGACCACTGATATCTTATAACTACATTTCTTATCACATGTGATGTTTTCAAAACATGAATTGATTCGAAAAAATTAGGACGTTTTTAAATTATTTTAGCCTTGAATATATGATCAATTTTCTCAGGCATGTGTAAAAAAGAATTGGCGTACCTACCATTCATATCATTACAATATCAACACAACTCACGCCAAAGCGTGAGTTTCTGATTTTGCCGAATTCAAATCGGCCAAATCGGCTCGCCTATAATCAAAGACACGTCAGCAAAATGTCGACACCATCACACTCACCCACAGACTCCCCCCCTCCTCCTCCTCCCCCAGCACAGCCTCGTGGGTCGGCGCGGCGGCGCGTCTCGGCTGTCGGAGGGGGGCGAGAATTAGTGCTGGGCGCGCGGTGGGCTCACACCCGTAATTGCGCGCATTATCACACCGTGACCCAGAGCGTGGGGGGGGGGGGCGGCGGTGGTGGCGGTGGAGGCAGGCAGCAGATCGCTAGGGACTCCCACCGCGGGCCGGGCCTCCCGTGCCGCCATCGCCGCCGCCGCCGCCGCCGCCGCCGCGGACGGCCGACACAATCGATGCGGGCTCGTCTCGAGCCGCCGGCCGCGCGCGTCCTGCCCGGCGGCCGAGCAGCGACTCGGCGCACCGCCAGCGGCCGTCCCTTCGAGGCGCGGCGATCGGGCCCGGATGGGATGGCGTGAGGGCGTGCTCGTGGCTGTTCGCGCCGGCGCGGGGACGATTATGAGCACTTTGGCCGCTGAGACGGGGGCGGGGCGCGACGCGGACGCCCCGCCGGACAGATGAGATGGAGACCGGGATCACAGGGTGCGCAGATTCAATATTGAAGAAAGGATACGTAGGAGGCATTGTTTGCGATCCTTTTTTTAGGAAAATTGTCGATGTGCTTAGCAGTGTATGCGATGAGACTGAAGAATATCTCAAGAAGCAGCTTCATATCTTGAGTTTACTTGACTGAATTCCTCTCTCTCTCTCTCTCTCTCTCTCTCTCTCTCTCTCTCTCTCTCTCTCTCTCTCTCTCTCTCTCTCTCTCTCTCTCTCTCTCCTCTCTCCTCTTTCCTCTCTCCTCTCTCCTCTCTCTCTCTCTCTCTCTCTCTCTCTCTCTCTCTCTCTCTCTCTCTCTCTCTCTCTCTCTCTCTTGTATCCTATATCTCGCATGTGTCATCCATTCCTGTGTTTGGTACCACTTTCATTTTTTGTGTGTTTTTTATCGGTTGGCTGTCTGTTTGCTATTATTCATCTGTTTTGCTTACAAGCCTCATTTGCTTGTAACTTGCATTTCGTCACTTCATTCTTCTTCTTTTTTTTTAGTTCGTTTGCACATCTGAGGTGGCATGGTAATGTAACTAGAGACCACTTTAACAGCGCCGACTCGTAATTCGCTATGATTTAATTATTTACCGAGATTGGGCTGAAGGTCGGTACTGGCAAAATTTGGTGACTGGAGGCGTAATTCAACTATATCCTGTTTGGCGGCTGTGAAATGCGTCTCACAGAAAAGTAAGTAGGTACCGTGTTGTTTATCTTTAAATGCTGTTTCAAGGTGCAATAGTACAGGTTTGAATAGCGTATCAAATTGACTTGAGGAAGTTTATTGACCATGCTATATGGCTACCCGTACGTACGAAATACGTTTTTTTTTTTTGTAAATAAGCAAACCATATCTTCGATGCATGGCAGTAGCTTGTTGAAATAATATGGAACATATTTTTGCATAAAATACTATATTTTTCAGAACCATTGACCTTTGACATGATTATCATCATGTAGTTACCATATCCTGTGCATTGGATATTGTGAACAACACAGCTTTGAGTTCAGCGTACCGACGCGGGCCGCCAACCCACTGAATTGCATTTATACTCAGCTTATGAATAGTCAACGTCATGCAACGAATCAGTCGACGCAGCGGCTTGGACACATCCCGTTATAGTTTCGGGGCGCCGGCAGGATTTGAAACTATCAGCGATCCACAGCCGTGGGCAAGTGGTATAAATCCGTCCCCGTTAGAGCAGTGCGATTTCAACTGCGAGTAACTCACGATAGCTGACAACGTAAACGCAGTTGAGGATTTTCAGCTATATCATTCCCGAGACGCTTTTATGGCGTGGATAACTTCTGTAAAGGAATATCTTCAAACACAGAATGATATGCGCCTGGGGTGACGTGTTCCGTTCCATTTAGAATGGCAAGTAGCTCTCGTTGTCTATACCGGGAACTCATTTTCACCCACAGCGGCGTGGGTCAGGCCATTTCTGACAACACATTTGCCGGCGGCGCTGTTCCGCTTCCGGTGGCCCGTATTTTAGCAGCGGGCGAGCGTCGGACATCGCACCCGCGGGACCTTTTACCGGCGGACCGTCCTGTGGGGTGGGCCAGCGACAGTCACCTACAGCACCGCGCAGCTTCAGGAACACAACACACAGCAGGGTTACACTGAACTCATAGCAGGCTGACGCTGAGTTAACGGCAGGATGACACTGCATGGGGTAGGGTGACACGGTGTGCATGGGTTGTCGGCATACTAACGGCATTGGGTGACAATGAACTTACAGTAGACATTGAACTTTATGCCGTGAGCAATGTTCAAACATCGAAACCAACAAGAAAAAAAAATATTGCTTTGGAGCAAGACGATAACGTATGACCCCTTAAAAACATGACCCCTTAAAAAATAAAATTACCCCTTAAACAATATGACATGACCCCTTAAAAAATAAAAACAACACCTAAGTATGACCCCTTACACTCGTTCAATGCTTGAAGTGAAGTGCCTTTGTAGATCGAAGAGGAATCTTCATTTTGCACTTGTCAGTGTTTTACTTTGAAAAAGCCGTATCGATCACAAGCTCTATGCCTCAGATCTGCAGCAACACAGCAACGGAGGTTATATGTTATTTATGGCAACATTGAAGAGGGTGTTAGCTACAAGGTGTTTGGATAGATATTGCTTACGGTCCGTGCTATAGCGCTACGGTAATGGGCTAGAAGATAATTATGTTGTCGAAAATGATGGTCAGTTGGTGCTATCTTAATTGCATTTGCATGACCTTCAACTGGCGCTGGTCAAACTTGATTGGATTTGAATTATATTATTGTCATGTTTCTAGCCCATGAACAAAAGCATGATCTAAAATAGAGTCCCAGCAATAGCCCTCTCCACATCGATGTGCCGTTTTCTTCGACATACTTACGTTTTAGCATCCGTTTACTGAAAAACGTCAAAATCCGTCAAAATCCGCTTATCGTTGATTTCAGAAACCACACCTGCCCCGATAAACACACGTGGACTTGGTCCGGTTAATATTTTCCACACAACGTGCAGTGTCCAGAGTCGGTCAGAGCCCGGTCCAGCGGCCCGGCGGCCGAGCGTCGTCATTCGATACAGCCGGGACGGCATCCCACGCGAGGGAGCGGCCGGACGCGCCGCCCGCTGGAGAGGGTCGTGGCCGTGCCTGAGACCGACCACGTCAGCACGGCCCGAGTGGTCCGAGGTATCTGCCGACTCGGAATCAGATGAGCAGAGAGCAGGGCCCCGATACGTGATCGGAGCTCAGCTATAGGTCACCGCCTCCGTCAGATTTAGAATATATAGACCAGGATGTAAGTCATAGGTCAGAATGCTGGTTAGTGACGACCAGTTTATTTGATGGCAAAGACATCTCAAAAGGAGCTTAATAAGTCTCAGAGCACGGTAAAATCCCGGGATTTCCCTGTCGACAGACCGAGCAAAATCACTCACAGACAAGCGATGGCTATTTCTGCCGCTCGCCGTTTAGCGTTCCCATCCCCCTCGCAGCACTCTTGACCGCCTGTCTGAATATCAGTAAAGTAATCACGGGTTTACACCGCTGTGTGCGCCAATGCTCGACCGCCGTCCTCCAGCCGTTGGCCGCTGTCTTGTTTGCGATGAAAGATGGCGGTAATAACTAATCGCCGCCCGCCGGGGTCCACTCGCCATGGAGCATCATGAATTATTTATGTATTTCTCGCGGCCCGGCCCTATTTACGGCGGAGAAGGGTAGCGAGGCTTCCTATTGTTATGTCGAGGCCATTTGTCTGGATTAAAGACATGGCCAGTGATTTCTGGGGAAAGCTGCGCAGACGAGAAAGACGTTGTGCTAAGTGCTCTTTGATGCAAAATCCGCACAGAGATGATGGAAGCCTGCTTTTATGCAGCTGAGAACCCGTCATTAGCATATTCTTGATCAAGCCGTTATTTTTATGGCGGCTGGAACAGATATTGAAAGCAGCGTAATATACCTGCAGTAAAAGGGCAACGTTTCACGATTCGTTCTTTGGTTTAATTTACCGATATTTTCGGCTTTTTTCATTGTGCCGTGTTTGAGTTCTACCTTTATCAAATACTTAAATACATACATTTACAATGTGTCCTGTTGTAAGCCACACTGTGCTGTGCCCGTCACATTTCATCTGTGTCAGATACTTACTGCTGTTTCTGTTTCAGATCTTCCACTGGAGGCGCGCAATCTCGCCAAAGGTAGGCACTAAGCAGTGAAATATCTTATACCTATTTATGACCTTTGACCTTTCTAATAAAGTACTTATCAATAAGAAAGAAGTAGGTACATCAAGGAGGTGCAAGCTAATTTCAAGTTCTTATTATTGTAGACGGGTCGGGCTAGCTTGCTTTAGCATGAGTATGAGCCTTTGGTACAAGTATGCAGCGGATAGGTGTATGGGCGCTTCGCCTCTGTCCTACCTGCTGGCACACAGCGAATAATCGTGTGGACCCCGTTTCCATGGGCATCACTGATCCGGATCAGTGCTTCGTAAGGGCTTAGGCTGCCCATGGAAACACCTGTAATCCCTTACCGCTGATCCGGATTCTAATCCAACTTCGAAAGAAGCTGATAGACAAGTAGCCTCTATCCTGCCTTTGGTGCGCAGTGGGTTTGCATGTAGACGGGCAGAGCTAGCTCGCCTCTGTGCTACACGGCGGGGCTCGGCTCGCGGCGGTATCGGTTACCGGACTCAATGAGACCCATTCAATCTAACTGGGATCAGGCCCGTGCAAACGGCGCCGCCCCGCTCTGGCGCCGCCGACATTAACTGACCGTATTTACTGGCGAGGCTAAATCACATTACGGCATTATGTTCGGCAAAGTACGACGTTGGCATCCGCTTTAGAATGTGACTGCAAATAAGGCTGGGAAGCTGGGGAAATTGGTGTGAGATAAATCTTAGGTGGAAGCTAGATCTCGGGAGCATCAGGGATGAAAAGTCCTCGGTTGACGGAGGCAGGTTAATTATGCGAGTCCTAAAATAGTCGCAGGTCGTACGCAAGTTGGATGGCCAAGTTTGGGTGCGATGTAGTGTGAAGAGGGCCTGTGGTCCGATAGCTCTTTACTAACGCGGGATCGGAGGCGGGTGTGAAAAGCCACCGGCCGGGACAGCGGGTGAAAATGGACGGTCACGCGTGCCACGAACACTGCTCGCGCGCCCGACAACCGGCCTCTAGATTGGCGTCGAAATGAACCTTTCTCGGCGGAATCACTCGGACGCTCGGCCGGCGGCCGGCGCTGATGGTGCGCCACATTTTATAGAGCGCTCGCCACCGCGGCGGCGGCGGCCGGCGGCGGCCCTCGGCTCTCCAGCGGGCCCAGGCAGCTCTCCCCGAGACGACCGCACACATTTGGCGCCCACGGCGAGCCGCTGAGTGGCTCCAACTCGGACCGCAACAACAGTCACGCCGCGCGCCGCCCTAAAAAGTTGGAACGAACCGCCGGCAAAATAATCCATCGCGCCGAGCCCGAGCTCCGACGCGTCGTTTTACACTTAAAACGAGGAATCGCGTGTTTTTCTCACAGAGGAGCAGCCGCCGATAGCCTGGTCTGAAGTCTGGCAATCACTTTTGTGTTCAAACTGAAAAATATGATGGTGAGGCATTCTGATGTAAAAGGTAGTTACTTGAATAGGCGATTTTATAGTCAACTATGTGATGCGCCATTTGAAACATTTCTGTCGTAGTTTACAGTGTAATATATATGTATTGTTTCACTAAGCTTTCATTTTTTTGTAGTTTGTCTTATTCCATGCATATTTTGTGTACAGTTTGCTCAGCAGGTAACAACAAATCAACATTAGCTCATGCAGCTCCGACTATGCATATCACTTTGACATGACGTAGTTATCAATAGTGTGTCACCGTCAATGCGTCATAATATCTCTTATTAATCTGTTTACGCTGAGAGCTGCGCCAACAGGCAATATGGCCATCACTCAGCGCTGCCAATGGTGCCAATATTTTGCCGGAACGATTAGCAATGTATCGATTCGGGCTCATCTGTCTATTGCATATTGCTCTGTTCTTGTATGCTCTTTCTCTTCTCCACGCTGTCGGAATGCAAAACCACTCAGCTTCTGCATGTAAACTATTTTTATAGATGCTACTTACCAAAAAAAGTAAAACGCCTTTTGCGACCAACGGGCCAACGGATCTCTCTCTCTCTCTCTCTCTCTCTCTCTCTCTCTCTCTCTCTCTCTCTCTCTCTCTCTCTCTCTCTCACACACACACCCTCTCACCCCACCCTGCATCCCGCAGGTTCCCGTGACGACTGTCCCCGCTCTCCACAGGCTCCTGTGACGACTGTCTCCGCTCTCCACAGGCTCCTGTGACGACTGTCCCCGCTCTCCACAGGCTCCTGTGACGACTCGAGCTGCCCATTCGGCGGTCAGTGTCAGACCGGTCCGGATGGCCGGACCTCCTGCTCCTGCCCGGAGCGGTGTCCGAGCCGGTACGAACCCGTGTGCGGAACGGACGGCGACACCTACCACAACGCCTGCCAGTTGAGACTGCGCGCCTGCCATCGACAGGCAGATGTGCGCGTCGCCACCGCCGGAAAATGCAGTGAGTAGCGTGTAATTGTTTGTTCAGAACATTTATAGAGGCGCTTCGACAACCGGAAGACTTCTCTGTCCATTCAACGACAAGTGTAAAGCTTATGCTTACATCATGTCAATGTTTTACACACCGGAGATAGTGGCTGCTCTGGTATTGAAGTGAAATTGGCGTTTTTTATGAGTGTTGCTGCTAAATCCGAAAAAAAAATGGGCCGTGACTAGCATAGCCGAGTATGTTTTTGCGATGTTTAACCCGCGCCCCAGTGGCAGTCTCAGCCAACTTCGCCCTAGTGGGGGGGGGGGGGGGGGCATATGTTATTACCCACCTCTAACTCAAAAACTAAGAGGGCTAGAAAGACGCGGCAAAAAGCAGTCGATAGCTCTCATTGCGTCCGTTTGAAAGTAATTCAGTCATTTATATCTTAGAGCAATACTGGGGTCACCATAGGTCATCAAAGGTCAAAATTTGCCAATGGTCATAATATTTTTCAGAAAACATGCCGTTATCTCAGGAACTATGGTAGCTAGAAAAACGCATAGAAAAACAATCGATAGCTCTTGAAATCTTCTTTTGAAAAAGTCATCATCAAAATTGACCTCAGGTCAACGGTTTAGCCTCCAGAGGGCAAAAACTCCAAAAATAGCTGTTTTTACGAAAAGTGTTTTTCGACAATAACTTACGACAACAAAAAGCCACGACATTTCTATTGTCAGAATCGTGTTTCTCTCGCCGAGACGCGTCGAATGAACTATAATTCGACCTTGAAAGGTCAACTTGAAAATCTGACCTCAGGTCAAGGTCATGACCTGACCGGAAAAGGTCATGTTGCATATCAGTCGATGCGTCTCGGCAAGACAAACACAATGAGACCATCCCCAGCGTTCTATCTCTTTCCAATCGCGAGTTATTGGCAAAAATCTGTTTGTAGCCTCAAATGACCTCGGATGACCTTTCTAGAGGCCATCAGCAAAAATGACACCTTGGTCATCACGGGTGATCCAAATCATTGTGATTCTGAAATATTTGGACTGTTCCTATGCGTGCACACGGATCTAGAGGCATTTTCATTTTTCTCCATTGACTTGTAATGGAAAGGTCACGCCACTGACCTGACCTTATGTCACGGTTATAAAAAAAATCCGAGATGTACAAATTGTAGGCGCCCATAACATGATGCAATCCACCAAGTTTAAAACCTTTATGACAAACACTGCAGGCTGGACATGATTGCAAACTTTTTTTGGGCTTGGTCAGTTAACTTGACCTGGTGACCTGACCTGACATGACCTGGGGTCAAAAATTTCACACATTGTCCAAAATTGATGTACCAAAATCTACCCCAAGCGGCGCGGCGCTACGCGCCGCGGTTTTTTATTCACACGCAAAAAACGCGACAGGGTGGTACCATATGCCCCCCCCCCCCCCACTGGGGCGAAGGTTAACAGCGTGCTGGCTCAGTTGGATTGAAGCACAACTTGCAGTCGCTTAGGGTACAGTTTATTGGAGCTAAAGGAAGACATTAAGTTATTCATTTCAATCATCAATATAGATAATGCTGCATGAATGTTGCCGACATAGACCTCATAACTTTCATATTGAGTTACCTTGTATTTTGTCATGTCGTGTCCAAGTGCAGTGACTGTCAGTTTCAGTCCCACAATATGTAAATGTCTGTTGCCGCAATAACACATCCAATCAATACTCGTCACTAGCTTGCCGACTCCATTGCTGAAGTGTAGCCCTTACAGAAACAATGCGGTCGCTGTGAAGTTAAATTTAGCTGTTGATTGTTGTAAGGAATTACAGCCCATTATTCTGGAAAGACTTAAGACGTGTAAGATCAGTTGCCCGAACGAAATGTGCAACACCCGCAAATGCGTGGTTTTGAGCAAGCGACGGTGCTAATTACCGTCGGTGGCAGAACGTTTACGCACATGTTACCAACTTTGTGTGATTGACTTGTTTGCTGTCATTGGAGATGCTAGTTTTTAGAGGCGAGCAATGCACACTTGCTGAACAGGTTTTGGAGATCATTTGTTTCCCAACTGAAATTAAAGCAACTCAGTCAAAGTGACACTAAACAAGCAAAATGATTTTGGAAGTATTATATTATAAAAAGGAAGACAAGGTAAAAAAGTATTCTTTATTAATGACTTCAACATTAGCGTTCGCTCTCCCCAAACTTCACATAGTTGTGATAGGAGCAGAGTAAATTGTCAGACCATCCCATCATTTAAGTCACCTGTCCCGGCCCAGCGCCTGTCAGGTAGTGGGACTGATCCATTATCCAACCGTGGCGGCGGGTTCTCGGTCTCGGGAGGGTGGGCTGTCGAACACCAGCTCAAGGCCCTGGGTCGATATACATAGTACGGCGAACCTGGACTCGACAGCAGGGCTACTTGTGAACCCCGTCGGCACGGCCGTTCCTGAGATTGGACGAGAGAGGGGTCACTCAGAGTCCCTTGAGGTCGTCAAGGATTCGTCGAGGTCACTAGGGACTGCCTGAAGTCGATTAGAGTTGCGAGTTTCTTGAACCACTTGTTCATCTCCATAGAACGAGTAAATTCAAGGCTGTCAACTCACTTGCGACTGAGCAGCGCTGCATGTTGACTCCATCGGCGCCGCACGGTCTGGTAGAACCTGGACGGTGACCCCGCTGGAGCTCAGGAGACACTCGGAACTCGCCGGTACTCTGCGGCGCTATAGTGAAGTCGTTCCGCCGCTCAGTTCCCGGAGCCCCCTCCAGCCCTCCTGCCAGCTGTGATGAGCCCGAACTGCGGTCGAAGCCCCGACGTCCGGCCAGCACCAAGCTCTAAATCATGCACGGCCCGGGCGGGCTCGGAGAAGTTTGACACACAGCTGCCGCCATCCGGGGCACTTCAAACAGCCGGCCAAGTTAGTGTCGGCTGAGATTTGCCCGTCGGGGCCAGGAGTGACGACTGGATAAATACGACAGCCGTGGCCACTTCAGTGAACAGACTATACATAGTCGATAGTAAATGCATTTAATAGCAGATGTGTTGAATGTGCTATGCACATATTTTGAACTATCAGAAATTTTTGACGATGAATCAGGATAACCATGCCTGTTTTTACTTTTCAGCAATTGCAAAACCAAACCACAGCGGAAATTTCCAACAAGATACAATGAACGAAGCATGGCAAAATCTTTTTTGACAGAAATTACCATATGCATTTGCATTTGCTTATTCCGTTTCGTTATACATACATAGTGCATGATATTCACTCGGATCTAAGCGTAATCGAAAGGTAGAAAACAAACAATATTGGCTTCAGTAATTATTTTTTTATCCCAGATCTTCTCGAATTATTCCGCTAATTGACTTGCTTCATTGGTATAATGCGCTACATTATCTGTGCCTTTGATTTGCTGGCTACGATTGACCCGGCGGGCGAATCCAATTGGTCGTGAATGGAAGGACGACCGATCATCACCGGGTCAATAGCTCGCGCGGCGAATGGCGATGACGGTGGGACTGGCGGCGGCGAATCACAAACGGTGACAGGGCTGTGACGGGATGGTGATTGTGGGACGGGGGTGGTGATGGGGTGGTGATGGGGCTGTGATGACTAGTGATTGGGCGGTGACAGGAGGGTGACGGGCAGTGGAAAGGATGTGTGCGAAGTGAGGGTATTTTGGCAGGTGAGTAGGTGTCTGTATCAGTGACAATGACGACCGTGTCCGCGGCGAAGACGTCTGTGTTGCTTGTAGCGACTGTTGTGATTGTTCTGACGGGGTAGACGTTTTTCCCACTGTCTCTATACCCACCAGCCGTGTCGCCCGCCCTCGGCTGACCGCTTACAGACGGCATGCAGCGCTCACCCTTTCCGACACCGCTGCCAGGTGCGTGGTGCCGTGGTGAGCGCTCCGTCGCATGTCGACCACCGTCAGCCCGTGCCAGTCAGGGACGTGTCGGCACCGTTCTGATTACTCTGTGTACCGCCGTGACCGACACAGCAGCCGACACATGTGGGTGTGCGTTGTGTAATCGACTAGTCAGGTGCTGTTACTGTGCTAGTTTTCAATTGATACAAATATGAACTACGTATATGCTCAATCTTCTTGTATGATGAAATGCCTAAATTTTGACTTCCTGTCTATGAACGTTTGACCCCGCAGTTTTCGTTTTTCATTTATGTTGACACTTATAAAAATGCCAGCGCCAAAGTTCGCCCACATTTGGTAAGAATGTGGGTAATGAATGTGTGATGAAAATGAAAAAAAAATGTGGGTAATGAAAGTGTAATGAAACTCGCTGTCACGTTGATTACAGTCGGCGTCGCTATTCATTTTGGTTGTCTCACCGCCACTAGATGGCAGTGGTAGTCAGCGCCTTAGCTGGTATGCTGTACCGCATTGCTCGTCGACGCGGAGGGCTGGCTTTCAAGGCTCGCCTCTTCGAGGATGAAAAAGAAATGATGGACCATTGTTTGTTAGAAAAATAACTGCAGGCCAACAGCCATATTTGTGTCATGCTGTCCACAAGCATTCCCATGATGACAACAAGCGACGCTCGGTTTTCATAAAGTGCTGTCGCGAACCTTCTACATCAGTGATTTACACCAGTCCACCAAGCCTTCTGATATCCGGACATTGGATGGTGTATGACTGATGGACAAATGTCGCTGGAAAGACAGCGACAAATGGCCGTCCATGACCGGAGCGGGTCCTGCCGATACCCATCAGCGAGCCCGCTCCGTCGGGTTCCGTGTGACAGACTCGCTCGTTTAATCGCCGACCGGCGGCGGCCGACGGCGCCGGATATCACATGACCTACGGGGATCATTACCGGGCGGCCTATGGCGGGTACCACGTGACCCGCTGCGCCAAAGCCGTCTGTTCGCCGCTGCAGCGTCAGCAGATCCGGCTGGCTCACGGAGGCGCTGATTGGTGCGCCATCTGTATTCAAACGCCTCTGCCGCGCTGCGATTGGGATCATTTTCGGCGGCCACCGTGGCCCGATTGACGATGCGATTCGACAGCGGATCGTGGGCCCCAAAGCATTTGGCGGAATATTTGTGGAATATGTATGGGTGCTTTGTATTTTATATTGGTGCATATCTTGCGGCGTGGCTTGAAAACGCTGCAGTCGCTGAATTTGTGCAGGATACACAAGGTGGCTTTTCAGAACATCTCGCATAACCCGCGTTTCTAGGAATTTTAGAAATGGTCGAATGAAATAATTACTGTTCGATGTATCTTGGTTTGAAGTTGAATATCGTTCACTTGCATGTGTACAGTATGTACATTGAAAGGTCAATTATATAGCATTTATATGAGAACAGTAACTTGCATAATGTCCCTTATCTTCGTACTACGTCGTGCAATGGGTAGTCACTTTATGTCTAATTAACTGCAAATTCACCGCCGCAAGGACGCAGTATTATGCCTATCCTCACACCAAGCGCCAATTCGGTCTGACATTCGACCCGGGCGACTCCCGGAGGGCATACTGTGAGCCGAGTTGGGGTAATTTAGTCGGCCGGCTCAAATTAGCCTGCGGCAACTTATGCCCGGACCTGATTAGCCCAAATCTGACCAAGTGCTCAGGAGTTTCGGGCACCAATGACCAATCTGCATAAATAGCTGCATACGCATATAATAATGGGGCGTGCCAGGCGAACCTTGCCAAATTTGTTGACAATGTGAACTCTTATCTGACTCTTTTCACAACAATCTTCTACTTATAGGATTTTGCTTTATTCATCAACCTTTGTTAATGGAATAAAATCGCCATATTGCTTTGACCTTCATCCGTGACATTTGATGACATGACCCCATGAATTCTACCGTTACACGTAGTGTATAAAGTACGCCCTTACCCTTTAGTCTATGTGTATCGTATCGGTTGACCTATACCTTGAAACTATATGTCTGTAATGCAGCACACACTGACACCGTGACCTCTCTTATCTCTAGGCTGTTGGTCGCGCCGACTCTCGTCTCCTCCATGTTTCAGCGCCGTGTGATAGACACCTCCTCTATGTTTCAGCGTCCGCAGACCCGTGTCTGGCCCATGTTTCACCGCCGACTGAGCCGTGTGTCCCGTGTTTCAGAGTCGCCCGACCCGTGTCGGGACGTGCTGTGCCCGTTCGGAGGTCGGTGCGTGCCCTCCGGACTGACGTTCAGCTGCCGCTGCCCCACCGACTGCCCCAGTTTCGGAGGGAAGCCGGTGTGTGGTAGTGACGGGGTGACCTACGACTCGCTCTGTGAACTCAAACGACAGGTGTGCATTCAGAGGACCAACGTCACCGTCAAGTTCAACGGACAATGCGGTAAGTGCTCTGGTTTGATGTGTGTATGTGTTGTAGCTACATCATAGCGTTACTATGTAGATATTTACAAATATGCGTTTATGAAACCGCTTTCTCATACCATATCCCAGAGCAGTCATAGCGTTATTATTAATTTTGCAACCACTGCCAACTCATAAGAGGACAATGGCCGATAAATACATCCAGCTAACATCCTCAGCAAATTTAGGCTCTCAGACTTTCACTGGGCTGCTGGCCGCTCAAGATGCTCGCCAAACTTCTGACAGCCTAACCGTCGAAGGGCTTAGGACAGCGCCGAAGTTAGCAGAGCCTGTGACTCGATCATTGCTCGAGTTTGTAGTCAATAACAACCACTCACATTGCAGACCCGCCTCAGGCAAAGCATTCTCGCTATAGTTATATTGATGAATGTTTGAAACTGGTTATAAATTGGAAAAAATGATAAAAAGACGGGATATCGCCTAGTCTTGCTGATTGAGTGCCCATAGCAATGAAATCAAACACGAAGCGACTATTTAACATTATTGAAAAATAAACTTTTCAATTAAGTATGACTAGCTGCGGCTGACCTTGAGTAAATAAAATTTCGATAATATGGAATGGTTTTTGGACTCGTTTTGAAATCAGCAAATACATTATCGTGTTGAAATAGCTCAGTCCGAAATCTTAGTGATACTCGTTCGACCTTGTATTGCTCAAAACCCAGCCTTTACGACCCGTACTTAAACTGCACTTGAAATCAGTGTCAATGAGTTACGAGGCCACTGGCAGTTTTTATCTCCTTGAACGCACCAAGGACAAACAGAGATTTACGACAAATCTCCCAAGACTTATAGTTCAGTGAATCATGTCCACTAAAGTGGAAGTGACAAGTTTCCTCGTTATTTATTTCTTGAAATGCAATGTCTTTCATATAAATCAGATGCTTATTGATTGCAATTGAAATGAACAAATTACATTACTGGAAACTAATACATTGATTCAATTCCTCTCGTTTGATTTGACGAATAGTTCAGACTGAACCGGTCGTGATTTTGCAGTAACAAGGGACCATAGTCCACCCGCCTTTAGAGGACGGCTCTCTCGCGCTCAGCCTGCCGCTGACAGTCCCGTCTCTGGCTATAATTCATCCCGACTGCAGAACACGGAGACAGCCGGGGCCGAGGGGCCACCCCGGCCTCTCCGGCTCACTCACATGCTAATGAGCGGCATTTGGCTGCTGACTGCCGACCTCCAAACGGTGACATGTCTGCCTCAGTGGGCTCGGAAAGTCAACGGCAGAGGTAGCTAATGGAGAGAATGGCAGTGGCAGTGGTCAGGTGGGAGGATGTGGTATCCTGGGAGAGCGCCGCACGGGTGGGGTGGGGGTCACGAGGAGATCGATGAACGGGATTGGGGAGAGGATAATGGTAAATACGTATGCCTATATAACATATTATATAACACCTATATAACACTTATATAACGTTGTGCTGAGAAGCTGATTTTCTAATGGTTCAGTTTTCAATAGCCATTCCAATTTGTGAGTAAATATTTCCGTTTACGACTTATCATCCTTACTCTTACTGCACGATTTGATACCGAAGCTTTTTTGTGTGTTAGAAATCAATCTAATTAAAACCGCAGCTATATTTGGTTATGGTTTATAACTTGTTTTGTCAAACAGAATGACAGTGTTATTGCCATCTGGGCCAGCTAACAGTGTGCTATTTTTGTCACCACTCTGAGATCGTGGGTGGCTAACTGTTGCGTCACTCAGTTTCCGACTATGTATGGTGCTATTCAGCCGGGCTGTGTCTCCTTGTCATAAATCACTTGATGCGGCTAAGCCACTCCAAGCAGCACTACAATTGCTACTCACTGCAAGCGCTTCTTCAAACACGCACTCGAGGCACCACTCCAATAATTACTCCGTCACCGTCATAATTGCTGCTTCACCACCATCGCGCCAGCAATAATTCCATTAACACAGCTTGTATGTGGCCGTTGCATTGCCATGAAATAATGATATTGTTTGTATTTCTTCACATACGATAGTGAGAGGAAGACAATAATTTCTTATATATACGCATTATTATTTTGTCAATTTTGCATGATATCGCTTGAACTACATATATCCCTCCATTTCTGGCTGTTTTCCATGTCTAAGCGTCGCTAACTTTGTTTTCACAATTTTGCTAGCTCAGCACAAATAACAGCTGTCTCCGGTCGCGGACAAAAGTTTGATCATTACGGACAGTCTGCACTGTTGACTGCTAGCAAAGATTGTCGGAGTATTGGACTCGGCTTCTTGTCGATAAGTACACATTGCTGTCAGCCGAACTCCTTCCATTCGTCTGTAGGATTTTTATTTCCACCGTATGCCTCAATCATGCACTGTGTGTGCTACTTCAATCGCTGTACGGTGTCCTCCTTGATGGTTGGCAGTCGGAACTTAGTCACAATTCAGAAGGAAGCAGTGCATCAAAAACACTCAGCGTACTTGGCGTAGTCCGGAAGCCATGCATTCCCCCATGAAAGTCGAATGAAAATTATTTGTGAAGCATGAGATAAAGCAATATATAGGCTTTTTGAATGCCATTTTTATGGCGATGGATATCAGCTTTCTTACTTTAATTAAATGACTTCAGACACCAGATTCAGTAGAACGCATATTTCTGGATGCTTGATGAGATTGGATTGCAGATTGCTGATCAAAAGCTTAGCGACTGTCACAAATGGCTGATGACAGCTTGCCACCCACTGGCCTCCAGCCATATCACACGTGATTCTACGATTGCAGTTGCTGGTTGGGTTTCGGAAGGTAGACTCGTGTCTTTTGCACACATTAGCTGTCTGACTAGTACCTACACTGTTTCCCATCTCCAGGAAATTGAATACTTTTAACTTTTTACCCCAGTTCTTCGAGTATAGTAGGGTCACAACTTCGTATATTCCGGGTTGTCAAGCTCATACACCTCTCTTTGTTTCCTCATTGATCTCTCTCTCTCTCTCTCTCTCTCTCTCTCTCTCTCTCTCTCTCTCTCTCTCTCTCTCTCTCTCTCTCTCTCTCTCTCCCTCCCACTTTCGTTCATTCACTCATTGGCTCTCTTCAAAACTGCTTCCCATCTTCCTCCACACACTCCACACCAAGCGCGACGGACAGAGTAGGGCGTAGTCAGAGCCCCACCACCGGCAGTCTCGGCCGGTGGCTGTGGCGACCCGTCGACCGGAACGTCATCCGTCATAGACGACATGGCTGCGGCGGCCGGCGGCAGCGCGTTCCGGCGCCGCCGCCGCCCAGACCCGCCCTGCTCTCCAGGCGTGGCAATCTGGGCTGCCGCCGCATTCGCCGTCGATGAGCCGGCACCCTGCACTTCCGGCAGGGTGTAGTCACGGCTGGGATATTGGCGGCTCAGAATTGTTGGCCTTTGGTGCAGGTGATTGGTTGGTAAGAAGCTAATTGCAATGATATTTATCATGAAAAAGGATCTATTACTTAAAATATTTAGAATGAGTTTACTGTCACATATTGACAAAATTTGGAAGTTTCGTTGGCCATTTTTTTTTTTTACATAATTTGATCCTTGGCATCCCACGCATCTCTGCTGGTCCTCTGCGCTCGCTCTAGTCCATCTCGCCAGTGTTGCTGCGGCCTGACCGCGGACCGTCTCACCGTGGAGGGAGGCAGCCCAGCGTAAAACGAAGCCACTCGTCGCGGCGCGGTACCGCCATCCCGCTCCCATCAAGCACCAGGGCAAATGACGAGCCATTTCGGCCCGCAAAGTAGGCGATATGTGTGCACTCCGCAGCTATTCTTCCAGAAGACGCCCGGCTCCCTGACAATTGAGGACTCTCAACGAGGATAATGATTATTTTTATAGTTTGTTTATTTATCTGGCCTGAAAGTGCTTGGTAGTGTTCATATCCATTGTATTTTCATATTAAAAAAAAACACCACACTCATTACCATGAATATGCGTAGAGACCAATTAACTAAAATGTTATTATCGCTACATTCACTGAATTGGTTTTTGGCAGTGTCTTTTCGAATGAAAGTATTGTTCGTCCTACATAAGCGATTCAATCGATTGAAGATTGCGCATGTGTGTTCTTTTTATCTTTTTTTACGTGGACTGGCTTGAGGGCTCAAGTTGTGTGGACTATCTTTTATTGTGTTAGCGTGACATAGAGGGTCGTTCTGGTTCAGCGGGCCAAGCCAACGGACAATTTCAGGAGACGGAAGTCATTTTGTTCAGCGTGCCTTGTTGCAGTGACCTAACTGCCACCGTTCGATCAACCGAATCGTGTGCACCTGTTGAAATGAAACCTGCAGTTTTACGTGTCGTAAATGCTCGAAACGGCTGCCCATTCGTTGCTCCCGCCTTGCTGAACTTCCAGCCAAACGGGTTGAAAAGCTAACGCGACTCGGGCGGGAGTGTATTCAGTTACAGCATTCAATATAGCCAGCGATGACACATATTATGAATAAGTGGCCGTGCTGAATTTATGTTCGAATCGTCTCTAGGTCAGTCCATAGCATCTTCAGCCGTTCCCTTTTGTGGTGTAACAAACGCGCTGGTGAAGCACTCTACCGAATGATGAATCCACACTCGGTTTCTCTTTTACTGACACATCTTCGTAACTTCCAAGGTCTTCCGTTTGTGGGCGTAGTTGTTGAGCATCAATTTATCTGAGTTTGGCCCACTAACCCGCGCCTAGCACATGATCTGCCTTGGAAGCCGACTATCAGTCATCAGCTTCGTGTTGTCAACTGCCGACCGAGCCGTCGGTGTTCGATTGGTTCCGCCTCCAGCCCGCCCCCAGGGCCGCTCGGATCTCCTCCCGGTCATTGGTCAGAGGACGGTCCCGTTTGATTGTCCCATCCTAATAACACCACGGAGATCCAACTTCTTTACGGCCCGCTGAGAGGCCATCTCTGCGGAGCCGCGACGGTGGCGGCCAACACCGGAAAACAAAGTCGCCCCGCGGGCGGCGGCGGCGGCGGCGGCGGCGGCGGTGGCGGCGGCGGCGGCGGCTGAATTTAGTGGGACGGATCTCGTCCGATGGCTGCCTGTCGGACGCCCCGGAGAGCCGCCGGCGCGTCACGCTACCTCCACAGCGCTGTTTTTTCCGCCACCGACGCCGCATCTAACCAAGAAAAACAACGCCACCCAGGTTGGCGTGGCGAGGCGGCGGCCGGCCGGCCGGCGCGCTGCCGCGGCCAATTCGGAGGTGTGTAACGGCGTCTTTTGTGGGCCCGCCGCGGCTGCAGAGAGGCGGTCGGCTGCGCTCGCAGCGCCAGGACGCCTGGGTTGTGTCTGGAGATTAGTGCCGCTGTCTTTGTAATACCCCCGGTGGGGTTGTCTGGTCGCTTATGTAGTTTTTGGTGGTTATGCGACACCGAACTCTTGCAAATGTTTGATGCGCAAGTGAGAGTGAGAAGAGCCTAACACAACTCACACAAAGCTACCAAGCTCTGCTAAGCAATAGTGATAGTTATTGCAAATACTCTCATCAGGGCTGGCTTACCATATAAATGAGCATTAAGCAGTGTCGGTTCATTTGCACTTAAACCCTTTATCTTTACTGTTGATCCCTTATTAGCCGGTAACACCCGTCCAGTGGTGCCCGCCGCTGGTCTAACGCCCCGTAAAATAAACAGGCTCGGCTTAGTTGCAAAATCAATGCCCTCTGACATAATTTGACGCGTTACAATTGGGTAAGTGTCGCTGTTGATAACAACAACTATGCTACTGCTGGCAAATGAGCTCCCCACCAAACACTTGTTGTATGTTGTGTCGTATTACCATATTCCTCCCTGCTCATGCCACAGATCTCCTTCAAAAGTGTCCTTCTTCAACCAACCCTGTCCATAAGCCACTACATAATTCTTCAATCTCCATCCGATTATTTCCCAATCCCTCTTCACCCCGCCTCGTTCCAAGCTACTTCTGCTCTAAACCATCCCTTTCTAACCCCTCCCCTCTTTTTCTCCACAGATCCGTGCGCCTCAGTGAGCTGTCCGAAGTACCAGGTGTGCCAATTGGACGCCTCTCGGCAGGCCTCGTGCCGCTGTAGTGACCACTGTGAGAGGCGCGTGGCACCCGTCTGCGCCAGCGACGGCCTCACCTACGAGTCGCTCTGTGCCATGCAAGTGGAGGCCTGTCGCAGCCGACGTCAGCTCAAAGTCATCTACCAGGGAAAGTGCAGCTCTGGTGAGTAATAAGTGGTGGTATAAGTGAGGTGGTAAAGAAAATGGGATAGAATGGGATGGAATGGGATAAACCGAGATAGTGTGAGATGTAAAGGTACACTAAGGACGAAGCATCATCCGCCATTTCCGTCTGTGTTATACATAGCTAAGAGTTCAGGGAAAATAGAGCCTTTTCTCATTTTTCTGCGAGAATGCTGTTGCCTAGGTAAGTGCACACAGGTAAGTGACTTAATTATTTATAAGCCTAACCACGAAGTAAAACTTTGCAGTCGAGCAACCTTCAAAAAGTCAACCTCATATACCTGGGAGCTCGAGTCTAACCAAACGATTCAACTTATCCGATCGCACATAAGTACGCATCAGCGTCGGAGCTGTCGGGAAATGGGCGCACTCGGAGGAGCTGACCTCTGATCCCTGGACGGTTGCTGATGCGGCGTGCTCTTACGTTCATTATATTTCACCGCATGGGAGGGTCGGCGGCGGCGCGGCCGGGCCAGATGAAGCGCTCCCGTCACCGACCCGTTTGGAGCCGGCCGGCGATGGATGACGGCCGCAGACCGCGGCGCTTCTGCACTGTGGCCGTCGAGAGGAGCTCAGTGTAGTCATTTGCACCGGAGAAGTCCTACGCCCCGGGCGGTGGTGCATCGAGCCTTTAGTGGCGCCGAGGGATTTATATTCGGGACCTGCGTTGGCGGCATTGCTCGGCGCCGTCCAAATTCAATCTGAATTTCGCATATCTGGGCGGCAAGTGGAGCACAGAGCTGCCTGATGACGGAGGTCCGTTCTGGGAAACCGTGCAGCCCGCCTCTGTGCTCTCTCGACATGTTACCCATTATTCACGTAATGATGGATGCACTGTGGGAGAGCTTCATATGAATGAATATTTTCTGACGCCGCTCAGTGCAACAAAATATGTAATGGGTTGCTAGAGATTTGGTTTATTCAGAAATAACAATGCTTTTATATTGATGACTATGAGCTGGGTTAGTTGCGTTTTACAGGCCTTGTGGGCTTGAAATCACTTACCTCTGTCTTCAATTGTTATTCATGCACTATTGTTTTGTGTGATGTGTCACGTTGATTATTCGTTATCTTATTTCCGCATTGTGCCAAAATACATTTTACAGGAGTAAAATGTATTTTGTAAAATGTATTTTGGCTCTCCCTAATTCCACTTTCGTATGTGTCGCATACAGCTCACAGAATTGGGCCGCTCTGCAGCGTTTCGCGCTGCCTGGCTCCAACGTAGCGGATCAGATTAATTGGCCGGCTTTAGGACGGTAGCCCCCATCCTTTCAGCGCCGCGAATAACTTTGGACGGCAATTTATTGCTGATACGTGACCGTTTCGTTAAGCGCCGCCGTAAGAAACCAGTCATATCTCTTTGAGCCTCAGGCTCACTTTTGATATCGGAATTAAAATGACAATTAAATAAATGCCGGACCCTTACATCTAGTTTCAGCGTTGCACTTTGATGCTGTCAGAGCAGTGACCGCAGGTGATCCTGTCAGCATACGTGATGCACACCCCTGTGCGTTGCCTGGAAACGCAGCACCGCTAAATGGATGCTCTCTCAAGGGAACTGAGTGGCTCATCCCCATGCGTTTCGCGATGACGAAGCCGAGGTCAAAAGCAGGGAGCAGAACACTTCGTCTCCGGCAGCGCTGCTGATTAAATTAATCGAAGAATTATGACTGTCAGCGCTTGTTAATTAAACTCCGACCCGGCGACATTTATAACGTAAATCCGCCCGACAAAGACGCTGTGGCCGAACTGGGGCTCGGCCGAGTCGCGGGCAGTCGCTCCGGCTGCGAATCCGGCCGAGTATTTCATCTGGCCGACTTTATGAAACTACAATGGCGCGGTGGGCCTGTCACCAGAATAGCAGGTCGGGCGGCGAATGAATGTCGGGATTTCGGGTGTCATCCGTGCGGCGTAGAGCGGAGATCGTCCACCGCGATCGAACTGATCCGCTCATGGCCGGAACGGTGACCTCTGACCTTCCACCGACACAGGCATTTGTAAATCTGAACACCGGATACCGTTCACATATCGGTAGGCCGAAAGCCGAAGAGCACGATGGCAGACCTATAGGACGAGACCCGACCACAGCTATGCTTCCATTTGCATTCGGTCTCGCTCTAGGCTTCATTCAGAGAGCTGCCAATGAGATCTCGGGGCCGCGCTGCGGTGACGCGGAGTCATCTGCATAGCATACCTGATTTCTGCCAGCTCAGCCCTGGTGGTTAATTAGAGCCGTTCTCCGAGGACACCTCATCACACGACGCGATTACATGTCTGAGTTCAGCTAAGCTGTGACGTAGAGAGAGCTTCTAAACTGAGCTCAACTCGTGGGCTCATCTCACTCCACGATCTCTCATTCTGTCGTGAGTTTCAAGTGGCACGAGGTCAACAGTGCACGGTTCTTTTGCACGGCAGGTGTGAATCCGTGCTCGGCCCTGCGCTGCTCCGAGTACGAGCGCTGTAAGATCGACCGTGGCGGCGTGGCGCGCTGCACGTGCCCGGACACGTGCGAGCCCGTGGTGCGTCCCGTGTGCGCCAGCGACGGCCGCACGTACGACAACACGTGCCGTCTGGAGCTGGAGAGGTGCCGCAGCGGTCGAGCCATGCACGCGCTGCATTACGGCGTCTGTGGTGAGCACTGAGCACCCGCACCCGCACATCACCCGCACGTGTACCCGCACCCGCACATCACCCGCACGTGTACCCGCACCCGCACATCACCCGCACGTGTACCCACATCAGCACATCACCCACACCTGTACACGCACCCGCACATCACCCACACCTGTACACGCACCCGCACATCACCCACACCTCTACACGCACCCGCACATCACCCACACCTGTACCCGCACCCGCACATCACCCGCACGTGTACCCACATCAGCACATCACCCACACCTGTACCCGCACCCGCACATCACCCACACCCGCACCCGCACATCACCCGCACGTGTACCCACATCAGCACATCACCCACACCTGTACCCGCACCCGCACATCACCCACACCCGCACCCGCACATCACCCACACCCGCACCCATACCCACACATCACCCGCACCTGTACACATACCCGCACATCACCCGCACCCGTACACACACCAGCACATCACCCACACCCGTACACACACCAGCACATCACCCACACCCGTACACACACCAGCACATCACCCACACCCGTACACACACCAGCACATCACCCACACCTGTACCCGCACCCGCACGTCATCCGCACCTGTACCTATATCAGCACATTACCCACACCTGTACCCATATCAGCACATCACCCACACCTGTAGGTACACACACCAGCACAATTACCCACACATGAACCTTCATCTGCACATCACCCGCACCTGTACCCATACCAGCACATTACCCACACCTGTACCCGCACCCGCAAATCACCCGCACCTGTACCCATACCAGCACATTTCCCCACACATGTACCCTCACCTGCACCCACACTCACACCCCGCACCGTGTTCCGCAATCCGTACGGAAGGCATTGCTTCTTGCGGCAATTGATTTATCAATTGAAAACGTTTGCGTGGGGGTAGGCTTTCTCTTAGCTTCATTGCGTTTTTGCTAATGTTTTCAAGTTTAGATAGGTAGTACTTTTGGCATTGGTCTCTTGTTCTCACTAGTCACTGCAAATACCCAATATTGCAAATACATCTGTGATCTGATAATCCTCCCACATATGTGAGAAGTTACCTGTCGTGAAAGGTCAATCGCTGTACCCTGATGACCCAAGTCATTTGCGGTTTCAGCGTCACACAAGGACAGGCATTGGTGTCAACGAAGCCTAAAGTGCTGACTACCGCCTCAATCTCTAATTGTGCTGTCAACCAGTTCCAATTTAAGGCACGTATTCCCAAATAAATTGCACGCAGGATGATATTAGCTCGTTTCTCTCGAATTGACATCATAAATCTTAAATAAATTTCACCAGATCACGCTCTGAGTAAGTTAGTGCATCACGTAAGAAAGGTTTGTTGATGGCGTTGAAATATTGTTTTGCAATGTGGATGGGAAAGATGCTTTTGCCTCCAACATTATTGCTTGTCATTCATCAACTCAGGCCACTACTGCGTCATTCCCTTACCTAAGTCGTGCTAGACTATAGCAAGAGAGCTATGGGTAAGAGGCATTAGGTTATCTGATGTCGCCAAATAGGATATTCACCTTTACGCCCCATGTTTCAAATCTTTGATCATGTGTCGTATCTATTCCAATTCCAACTGTCGTGCCCTACCATCAAAAGTCTCGGTTCGGCCTGTTTTATCAGACGACTGCTGCGCTGTGCGTGGCCTCAAACGGGCTGCCATTTATATTCGCCAGAAAATGAGAATTCTTCTCATCGTCTGTGCCTGCGCTGCCGCCAGATGGGAAATTCGCCACCTTGCCAAACTTTGAACTTGATTAGACGCGGCCGCGGCTCGACGCACATCTCACGAGGGCAGGCGCCGTTTGTGAGCCTGCAGCTGGGCTGGACTGTTCTGCTGCCGGCACCTCCGCTCTGCTGGAAGCTCTACCTGGGCCGCGGCCCGTCACGATGTCATATTTCACCCTCCCACCGCGGCGATTTGATCGTGAAGCGATGGCGAGGGCCGAGGCGCCGGTAAACGACCTTGGAGAGGCCAGCCCGCAGCACAATAGGTCCCCAGGCGACAAAAACGCTCCGATTCGACGGGCCCGTGAGCCGATATTGGCTGCGCCGGCCAGCGCTGTGGCGGAGCGCGGTAGAGGAGAAGGGACGGGGCAGATGGTAACACGGACGTCTGCATGGTCATGTGTCAAAAGTGGAAATAGCCGGTGCGCCGTCTGGCAACCCGGCAGCCCGCCGCCATAGGGAAATTCATGCTTTTTGTCGCTTTTTCGCTCCTTATGAGTCACTTGATCTAATTAGAGCTTAACTAGGAACGAGGCGGGTCACTTGGACGTATTCGGGAGCCGAATACGGTGTTTTGGAGCCAATACATGGGAAACCCTACCCGCCCAATGCGAGTTTTTAAGAGTCTGCATGCCCAAATTAATGTTGAGCGCGGCCGTTTTCGGTCGGTTTTCCGCGACCTTGTGGCGAAATCGCCTTATTTATTCAACCAGGGTGGGCTAATTCGCTTAACTAGGAATGAGGCGTTGAAGAGAATTATTCAAGGAATAGAGCTGTGCAAAAATATTTTTTTTTGTATTGTTAAAACTGTATCCGCCCTCGAACGATAATTATTGTTGACCCATCAGAAACACATCGCCTGGAATGCGTTTGGACTTGGCTGGATCTAATATTAGCGAGTATCTGCTAATGCAGTTTCTTGGCTTACACGGTACGCACACAAGCATAGGGTGAAGTCGTATAAGAGTACGCACTTAGTGGATTTCTTGCTCTCATTTGTTTAATATTTGAAGGAAAGAAATCGCAAATAGGGAATATTAAAGTTCATTGAATTAGCCATCAACCCATGGGGCAACGATCCTTCAGCGTAAATGGAAGTGGTCTAAAACTGACATTTTCTGAACCGTTACACTTGCGTACTCTTACCATATGGGGTGTGTAAGAGTACGCATGCCAGGCGGGTGGAGTACGCAAGCATATGGACACACACCTATGCAGCTTGCACTGTCCAAATGCTTAACTTCAAACTCAGAAGGCATTTAAGTTAATTCTAATATCCAAAATGAAAAACATAAAATAAATCTTTCAAGTCTATAAATCAGGAAATAATCACGTCGTGTGTTTCTGAAAAAATGCACAATCAAAAAGGAGAATAATTCGTATTTGGAAGAATTTCGGGTACGCATCTGCATCACAGTGCTCCATTGATGATATACCTACAAAACAATCGTCATTGAGCGGTAGATTAATAATTCTATATTTCTGTATATTCGATTTAATGTATAATTCTGCGTACTCTTACCCTCCTGAACAGTGCGTCCTCTTACCGTACATGCAATTCGCGCACAAAACAACCCCGAAACGTTGTGCAAAACTTCGCAAACAGAATATTGCACTGTACAGTATTTCCCCAGATAACCTCACAAGTTTCCCACAACAATCACGGAAATGTACCTTATCTCAACTGCCAAGTATCAAAATTATTGTACCATATCATAATAATATCATAACGCTCGAAAATAATAGGGTAGGGTGGGGTAATTTGAACATGTGGAGCAATTTGAACATAGTGTGAATAACACAAAATTACGGAAAATCCATAAGTGGCATGACAATACGACCAATGAGAGAAATTATCGTAACTAAAAGGGCTATCATATGAACGGGGTTTAAAGGTTCAGGGAATGAAGATGTTGACGCACAGTGTAAAAAATCAATTTCGCAAGGATAAACGCCTAACAACACGTCATTGCAACTTCAGTGCAGCGCAAAATCTTGCATTGCTAGCGCCTAATACGCAACGGTTCTTGTTGTACAATGACCTAAACAGTGCCTTCAATCCAAGAAATTTGCACTTGAACCCTGTTTTTAAAAATGGCAAAATAACTTTTAGCGTGGGGTAATTTGAACATAGTGTGAGAATTTCAATGAAGACAGGGGCTCCCAGTTTTTTTTTTTTTTGCCAATGTTTTCGACCCAAAGCAGTAGCAGATAAGTGATGCCAGTTTTATAAAATTTACGTCTAATATCCGTCTAATATCCGGCATTTTCGTTGATTTTCCGTCCAAAAATGTTAAAGTCGACTATTTGTCCAAATATGTCCGAAAATTATGCAGCTATCAACACTCAAAACCGTCATTTATATTGTTTATCATGTAATTTTACCAGCCGTAAAGTTTTCATTATATTGAGAGCTTAACAAGCTTTCCATTCGCCAATCAATGCTACGCACGATTAGTTGATAAAAATGCTTAAGTGTGGCAGGCCATCGTCCAATGTTGTCCAGACTTCTATACCTTTGTGCAATCAATTCCGAATTGGACATTATAAAGAATTGGAACTCCGAATGTCCAGGTTCCGATTGGCACCACTATAACAGATGAAATAAGGTTTGGTAGAGTTTTTATCGAACGGAGATGATAGACATTCTGGTAATTGAAGAGAGGCGAATTCTGTCAACTGACCGGTGTGCAGCGTGCAGATATTGATACTCTGCAACTGTTATTTTTGTTGTTGTGTTGATTTTTCAAATGAGGGTATGTTTAGAATTGCTCTGCCTATTCGTTTATGGGTCAAACAACATCGGTGCTGGCGAGACTATCGTTTTTATGGCAGGTAAAGACAGTATGTTCAAATTACCCCACGGTGGGGCAATTTGAACACACCGTGACTTGGTGGAGAAGTGGTGCTATGCTATTCAAGGTATGCTCGGCTCGTCCAAAAATGAGGCTTACATGGTAAAAGCAAGTGACACATGCGCTACTGAAACAGTTTTTCTTCATCCAGGGTTGAGCTGGAATTTGGTACAACGGAGAAGACGTAAAAATATGTTCAAATTACCCCACACTACCCTATTCATCGCCTTAAACTCAACAGCGTCGCCGCTCAACGCCCACGTTCCGTTGGTGACATGCACGCACTGGCGGCTTCATGTGACTTCATGAACTCGACAAACCCGCGTTGCTAAGCAACCGAAACAGCTGATGCGTACTCTTATCGCCCGCGTACTCTTA